TCCTTTCGTCCTAAACGTCAATGTGATTTGTTTCACGAGATAGGCTGATTCATTCTGACCCACTTTTTCAAGTAGTATTACTCAATTTTTCGAGAATGAACATAATGAATTTAGCCTTGCAAGTACTGTAGCTAGATTACACTAAATTAGGTGTATCATGAAAAGAGGAATAAATAATAAATAAAAGAAATAAAAAATAAAGCAAAATCGAAGATTCAAAATATAAAATACACAAGAAAAATCCCCACCCAATAACCCATAATGTCCTTACCGTTTCCTTAATTAAACAGTTATTGGTTGTGATCGGTGACATTTATGTGGAAAATGTGTTTTCTATGATGTATATCATTGCATATAAATTGTTTTCCCGCATAACATTTTGTAGAGATAACGTCCAAAGAGAAAATCTGATTTATGCCTTGTCGGAAAATGTTTCGCTAATCCATGGTAGAGAATCATATTGTCCTACCCCAACGAGGAAACAGCTCAGTGCAAATGCACATACATATAATATGGTCTCAGAAAAACTTTACTTTAATTTTGGCTCGATTACAGGATTTCTTATAGACCAGTCTTACGTATCTCTTCGATTTCCGCACATTTATTTTTCAATTTTTTTAAAATTTTAATCTACTATTGTTCCTCCTAATACGCAGGAATAAAAATTACAATTAAAACGACTTGCAGTAAAAAGCTATTTTTGTCAAGACACTATGCTCTTTCATGACAGGCTAAACAAGGAGCATTAGAGACTCATCGAATGCAAGTGCACAGGAGGCAAGGGCACTCCCTGAGCAGCCCAGAGCAGGGTCTTCATTCAGAATAGGCAGCGCTACCTGTTGGTAAATATCCGAAGTGGTCCCTTGTAATCAGTGCAGGTCGTTTTGCGCACTCGCTGACTCACATCTCTATTGTTTTTCCTCAGAATCGCAATAATGATAAGAATTGATGCGTAAAGCAAATAAGTCCATTGACTGTCACTGCCTACCACGTTTCTTCAGAATTTCTCTGACAAAGAAAATCCTATGTAAACGAAAGTCTTCTGTAAATAATGCCAATTCTTCAGGCTCTTGGATGTTTATTATTGTCTGTAAACAATTTAATATTTGCAGATGATGGAGAACAATTCGCACTAACTATAGTTCAATGGGAGTCTGGCGTTTTTTTAAGTTTTTTCGAATGATCACAAATGCACCGTAATATAAAATCATAAGAGTAATGTCTAACGCATAACGCCTGAAGCGTGGAAGAAATCAGATGACGTAGTAGTCCCGTGGTACCAAATAATTTCAGGATTGATTTAGCTTCCGATACGTTAGATACATTTCAAATTTTAACCAACGGAGATCATTTTAGGAAATAAAAAATGTCAGCTTCTTAGATCAATCATTTAGGCACTTATGCTCCTGTTTAAAAATAATTTTTCAATTTCTTAAAATACAGTAAAAATAGACACTGTAAATAGACACTATTTCTCCGTAAAGTCATAAAAATCATTTCAGCTAAGCTGAACTTAGAAAGAAAAAATTAGAACAACAAATCCAGCTCGCTGGCGACTTAAATCGCTAATAATGCTCCCTTAACTGGATAAGGGGGCTGAGCACACGAGAACTCAAAATTAAGTTTTTATAAAAATTGAGTCAAATTACAACCCAATCACCAAACCAAAACTTTGAAATCCAGCAAAAACATTTGGCGCTTTTGTGTGGAGGATACTTAAAAACAAAATATAAAATTGAATTTTGAAACTCAACATTCACAAATCATCATGTTAAGATGGTGCGTCTTAGAAAAGGTTGAAATCTTTACTGCCGGTACCAAAGTATGATCGTAAATCTCGTCACGCTGAGGATGAACACGGCATGATGATCATCCAAATGTCGCCAATAATTTTTGAGGATAGTTAGGAATAATCCCCCTTAAAATGTTTAGAAACACCTCGGAAATGTTCTTTCGGAAATACCAAAAAGCAGATTTCCAGACTTTACACTGAAAAAAAAAATCTCTGTGTATTTACTAAGAAAATGGTAAAATTACCAAGAATTCTGGGTTCTATTTGATCCCAATTTTTTCTTGGTAAAATTACCATTTATGGAATTGGTAATTTTACCGAGAATCTCGGTAAAATTAATGAACTTTCTCGGTACTTTTACTGGACCTTGGTAAAAACGCCAATATTTTTTATCGACTGTAGTAAAATTACCGAGATAAAATGTCAAAGTTACCGGGAATCGATTACCAATAAAAGTGGTATTCTTCCCTGAAAAAAACAATAAAAATACCGGTTTTTAGGTAAGCGTACCAGTCTGTCTTGGTAAAATTACCAATAATTGGTAAAAAAAAGTGGGATGGTAAAGGTACCAACGGACCTTGGTAAAAACGCCGAGAATTTTTTTTCAGTGTACCATACCCACGTCCGAAGGTTTACATGCTGCATTTCCGGACGCAAAGGAAAAGGGTAAAGCTGGAAAGTTCCAGGACTCCTCCGAGTAAATGAAAGTAACATAAGTAGAGAGGGTTAAGAACTGGGGGAGAAGGATGAAGGTAGAATAAAGGGAGCGGCCGAGAATAAACACAATTTCGAGTCTTGTGCAATTGTGGCTTTTGAAGTGAACTACTTACGACGGTTGACATCTTACGCGCGCGATTTGTGCAACGCATTGCGGGGTTGTTTCATCATTAATGCAAAGCCACCATCACCAGTGGCGTGGCGTGCCTTGCGATATATCGATTGATCTGTCATGTGAAACTATGGAAAATGATCGATAAACAGAGTGTTCGCAACGAACGCCTTAATAATCGATTCTTTTTCATGACTTCAAATGGGGAAATATCGATAATCGATCATTCACGCCTCGCAACTGGCCATCACCGGTGGACCTCGAGGGTTGTGCTCCTTTTACAGCCACCAAAAAGCTCTTCCTTTTCGAATATTCAAAATATTATTGCAAGTTCGGTCTTGATAACTATTCAAAAACATAGTTTCGAGAAAATTGTTCTGGGTATCTATTCCAGCACGTTCCGGGCAAGGAAGTTCCGGATTACACTGCAAAGTAACGTACGTTTTTGGCAAAAAATGAGCTATACCACTCACAACTCCTAATTTCATTCTTTAGATGGGAACGTTTTAAAAGATTCATTCATGTGAAAGTCGTATAAGACTTCATGAAGTTGCACAAAATTTTATGTAATTTTTTTTATTTACTTAAAGCTGCTAAAGTTGCCTAGGTGCCGAAGGTTTAACCTTTGGATTATAAATTACCATTGTAGCTTGATTCTACGGCTTTGACTTTTTCATAAACGCGTATTCATAGTAATTGCAGCTAATACAGCTGCTTCCCATAGGAGACCGCATTGGTTTACATTGCGATAAAAAGAAAAAGGAATCTCTCAAAATGGTATCATAAAAAGGACAATTATTGCAAACCTCGAGTAAAATTCAGGAGTATAACTTTAGAAATGGATCCTTACAAGAGACTGCTGTGATTTGGTACTGAAAAATATTCAAAATACAAAAAAAAAAAAAATATGCTGTACATTTTGTAAACTTTAAGGTAGGTTCGCACCTAAGTTTGTCAAAATTGTTGAACTCTTATAGAGGAGCTTTAGAGGGTAGAATGGAGCTATACTATTGGTTGAAACGTGTAGTCTTAATGGACTATAAGACTAAGAGATGCGGACTAACTAAATGGTCTTTCATGGGTCCTTGTTAGTCCGTCTATTAGTTAATATGTGTGTCCTTTACAACCACACGTTTCAACCGATAGAATCGCTCCATTTTCCCTGCGTCGCCTATGTCTGTAACGTCTGTAATATTCAGCCCTCCCTCAGCCTTTGAATCAAATTCTTTGATTTTTTTAAAAACGCAAACTTGTAGAATTTCATGAAATATTTCACGTAAATTCCCGCCGAATTCTTCCATAAGTTACCTTCGTTCCATACCACCTCGCGCTCACCCCCGGAGTATCGACATATCAAACGAAGGGTTGCTTCTCAACTCTTTTGTCTATAACTTGGCTTATGAATTTCATATTCAGCCCTCAGTCATTGAATCAAATCCTTCAATTTTTTTAAAAACGCAAACTTGTAAAATTGCGTGGAATATTTCACTTAAATTCCCAATCTTCCATAATCCACCTCCGTCCCATACCACCCCGCGCTCACCCCCGCAGTATCAACATATCAAACGGATGGCTGCGTCTCAACTCTTTTGTCTATAACTTTGTCTATGAATTTCAATATTCAGCCCTCAGCCCTTGAATCAAATTCTTTAATTTTTTAAAAACTTGTAAAATTGCGAGAAATATTTCACGTGAATTCCCAATCTTCCTTAAGTTACCTTCCATAAGTTACCTTCCATAAGTTACCTTACATAAGTTACCTCCGTTCCATACCACCGCGCGCTCACCCCCGCCGTATCAACATATCAAACGGAGGGTTGCGTCTCAACAGCGGCACGGCGCACCGGTGTGAGTGGAGGGGGGGGGCGCTGGGGGTTGGGGCAATTAGCGAAATAATTAGCGGTGCGGCCGGGGGCGGTGTCGCAGCGCGGCGGGGGCACCCCCGCGTGAGG